TCCCCGCGGCGGCCGGGAGCACCGCAGCCGCCGGGCACCGCCCCGAGCTGCTCCTCGAGTTCAGCGAGAGCCGAGTGCGAGCGGAACAAGAAAAGCTTTTTCTTTCTTTTTTAAGTTCCAGAAACTAAACTCGTCATTTATTTTCTGTCCACAGATTGTTTTAAATAAACATGAAGTTGGTCTTATAATTTTGTTTTGTTTTGTTTTTACATCGTTTATCAGAAGCACAGTCCTCAGCGTCTGGGTGACGATCCTGCCGGTCCCTACCCCGATCGAGCGGTGCACTCGGACAGACCGAAACCGAGCGGGGTCCACCGGGTCTGAGGTCTCCTGGAAAAAAAAAAAATCTATGGCTTGTTCATCGGCATCGCGCTCTTCACCCCATCCGGAGGGCCGACCCGCGCGGCACGGAGCAGCGCAGCCCTCCAGCCCGCCGAGGGGACGGCGGGCCGTCCTCGGCGCCGGGTGGGCTCAGCTTTGGGACACCCCCTCTCAGATAAGCCGGGCCTGCTCCAAGTCCAGCGGTTCTCCTGCGATAAGCCTTGGCAACTCGGAATTAAGCCTTAGTGTGGTCTCCTCTAGCGTCTGCTCTAGCAGTTGAATCCACCTCCACATTTGAGAAACTTATCGACAAATCAAAACATTGAAAGTTTTATCGCTACTGAACATATTTACAGTTTTCAGCACGCACACAGCTAATCCAAATGGGTATGGGGATGTCGAAGGTGAGCATGTGGTAACTATCATATTTGTTCTTTACGTTTTCAGAAACAAACATAAAATTCAGATTCTCGTATCTCACTATTTCATTTAAATGAGACTTTGTTTCAACCACACAGATTTTTATAAACAAAAAAACTGATACAATGTATTAAAACACATAATAACAAGAGTCTACATGTAAAAATATAACTTTTACATACACAATTTCAAAATAATGATACGTTTGCCGTTTGTTGCATAAAATTTACAAATGTATTTTTCATTACTATATAACTGGCAAAACAGGAGAACAGATGGAACATTTAGACCGTTTGATGGATTTATGGCATTTATTCAGTGTCGATAGGTGGAAAATCTACTCGAACAGGGAGATTTTATTTAAAATACATGCCAGGTCGGTGTGGCTGTAAAAATAGAAACTGGAATTAGAGACAAAAGGATGCTGACAAATACCTAACTAGGAGCACTATCTGTTAATCGTACTGTACACCAAAGTCAATCGTGATTAAGATTCACTATGGAAGTTGGTTCAGTTGTGCCCAGACTTCAAAGCTAGTTATCTGATGAGCTGCTGTGCCATAGTTGGAGCTATGTTACTATTAAATATGTTAAGTAAAAACTTCATTCGTACTGGCCAGAGAAATCCTGTACTACCACCCCTCCTCGAGAAAGTGCAACTTAATGCTTTAGGACTCATAAGGCTTGTTATAATGCTGCATGATGACCGAAATTGGCATTTCACAAAGAAAGGAGGAGGCAGCAAGTGGTCTACACTTAAATAATCCACTTAAAAACGAGAGAAGAACAACAGAAAAAAGAAGTCGATCAAATCTGTCACACTACTTGCAATTTTCCCCCGCGATGGTGGCCCCCCCCCCCCGTGGGGGCCCCCCCCCCCCAGTCTGACCATGTATTCAGCAACGCCTCACTGCACACTATTTAGGCTACACACATAGGTAACACTTTAATCGGTTCGTTAATCACAGCCACTTTGATTATGTTATGTTTCCGATGATATAAACATTGGAAGGCACAGTGGTAACATTGTAGCATTCTAACCTTGTACCTCTGAAAATCCCAGAAAACGGGTCGAGCGGCGCGGCGCGGCGCGGCGGGGCGGCCGGGGCTC